AATTTGAAAACATTATTTTTAAGTACAATTGACTCGAGGTAAGGCTGGAAACAAAACCGGGGTCAAATGAAGCAGAGCCAATACTTTGCGTATGCGCTGTGTACTGTGCAATATTCTCAGTCTGCATATCATCCTGCCCACTTGCGTTGAGTCAAACATTACAGTCACATTTTGTGTAGCAATTTCCCACCTCGTATGAGTCAGATATAGCGAGAGCTGCATGTTTGTCAAGACAAAGGATTACAACATTTAAGACCCACAAAATAACTTGTACATTTGTTCAGGTCCAGTCATTTGTTCATCTGCTTTGAGTCATTACCCATCTGCACTTGTTTTTATCCCCCCCGCCCCCACTACCCTTGCATGTATTTCTTGTTTGTCTCTTTCTTACTATTCGGCTTTTCTGTCCCAGTTTCTCCCAGTCCAGCTTGTCTTTTTCCATCACCCAGTCTGCGTTTGCGTTGCGTATCAGACAGACTGCTGCTTCCAAAAAGACCAAGTTCCCCCCCCCGCCCCCCCTATAGCCCGCCCTCACCCTCCTCGGGCTAATGTCACAACAGTCCTCTCCCACATCTCCTCACTCAGCTGCCTGCAAAGGAAGCCGAGCCCGCGAGGTGCCAGCCAGCCTATCCACTCGGATGAAAGCACTGGGCCCGCAGGAGTACAAATTGTAATATCAGTGGGTTTTGAAATGACACGTGATGGACAACGGGCTTAATCAGCTTGGTGTAGACTATGTCTAACAAAAGGGGTCATATAATGTCTGTGGGGCTCCTTTGAGGAGAACTTTCACTGGTTGGGAGGGATACATTCCCTTTTTTCTCCTCGTCTGTTTGACTACCACGACAATTAATTGCATTGATTGGAATTTTTGTCGTTGATCCCATTTTTACCTCAGGAAATAATCATCTCAAACTGCCAGCATTGTCAAAACCTTAAACCATACAGACAGTGTTTTAAGTAGCATTTTAATAATAACTGCTATTAAAAATATTCACTGTTAAGACATACGGTATGCATTTTTATTTTTTTGTTTTACATCTTCACACAGTTCCCAGATGTTTTTGTTAAAGGTCCCTTACATTCTACTCTTAAAAATACACAAAGGATAAAGAATCACAAGACACTTCACATCCACTTGTCACACTCTGGTTGAACTCACCCTGCTTTGCAGGGGGCGGTTTTCTCTCATGCAAATGCATACTATGGCTTTTGTTGTCATAAGACGGCGACGCTCGAGCATTTTGTCTGACCACTCTCGCAACTAGTTATCAAAGAACGACAAGCAAAAAAAAAAAAAAAAAAATCTTGCGACTTTTAATGATGTTTCAAGACTTCTGGATATTCTGGCTTCCTCTGGATCACAGAAGGTCACCCCTCTGCGTCCAGACGGCAACTGAACGATGCTGGCTAATTTAACCATATCACCCAAGTCGATGTTGGACCTGAATGAGTTCAAGGAACGAAAGTTCATGAATTGAACGTAGTATTGCTTCCCACATCATTTTTGCATGTGAAAGACAGATCTTTTTTTTCCTCAAGAATTCCAGATTTCCTACGTTATTCAGGGGAAAAAAAACACGGTAAATTAGCTTTCATATATATGGGGAATAAGGACTTTTTTTTTGCAACTTAGTGACAACAATAAGGAAATGCTAGTATTTTGAGGCTAATGACTGACAGTAACGTATTGTTCAAAAAAAAATTGCTGTGAACTTAAACGATGGACTTAGTTCAATTTTGTTTTTATTTACTGAATGAGTTCATTAAAAAAAATTTGAACTGCACTTTGAACCGGTTCACGTAGAAAATGAAGTTTCCCAACAATGACCCAAGTCATGGGCGAAGAAATTTTGGGGGATGTGGTGTGGGCGACTTATTTGAATTAACATAGTCATGCCAACACATGAGGGAAACTTCAGAAGGGCCCGCTCATAGATATATTTGGGGAAATAAGCAATTCGAACAAGATTTACTTGGTTGTTTAATTTCAGACTTAGTAGGTAAGCAGGCAGTCCAGAGATCCAACAATCTGTATACAGGCAATTAAAAAATTCCCTAATCAGGCCGCTTTCACAACTGAAGTCGAAAGGGAATTTGACCCACTCCAGGTGAGTGTCAAGAATCTCACTTTTAAACATTCTTAATGATCATGCACATGGAACAGCAAAAAAAAACAACAATAAAAGTGCCCCTTAACTTTGACAGCAACTGACATTCGTGTCTTACTGCTTTGAATTAGAATACTGAACAAAATTTATGGAACAAAAGTGAGCCATCCTTGACTTTTTGTGAGATTGTGAAAATCTAATTTTACATTGACAAAACATAGCGGGACACTTGATGCTCTGAAGTGTGTGCCCACACACACTGAAGTGGTCTTATTCTAAGTGCTTTGTCATTCTCCTAGGGGGTAATCAAAACAAGATGTCAAACAAGTGGCTGCTTAAAAGTCTCCTTACGCTCAGCTAACAATGACATTCGGTAGGCTACAAAGCTAAAGGCTAACACACACTCGAACTCATGGTGACTGCTGACTGCACGCAAATGAGCAGCCACACCAAGTCACATTTAATCCCTGTGATACATTAAACCTTATGATAATCAGATCATTAATTGTGCCGATGATTGAGTTAATGAATTAAAGGGAGGTTTTGTTACACTAATGTGCTCATCGGTGCTGGGACCCCAAACTTATTATATTGCTGCTGAAAATCAGGGCTGATGTATTTATTTCTTTAATGATTTGCCATTTATGAATATCAAATGATATAATCCATTTTGACAAAAAAAAAAAAACAAACTTTTTTTTACAAAAAGACACAATGAGCAATGGAATATAATGACAAATAATTCAATCAAAAAACCCAATAAATATGACGGATATTATGTCAAATACCGACCAGTTGGTCTATAATGAATTTTATAATAAAAAGGGCATGTTATGAAAAACTGATGTTTTAATGGCTTGTACACAATAGTTGAGTCTTTGGAGTGTGAAATTAAACGCTTCTCTGCTCTCAAAGACTGTGGGTGCATCTACTGAATGTGTGACACCATGCCCTGATGGACAAAAAAACAAACAAAAAAGGATTATTCTAGCGTCTTTCTTCTGCCTACACATCCATACATGTTTGAGACGCAAAAATAAATCTGCATAAAGCCTCCGGCAGCTCAGTTCCTTTGAGAGGCGCTAGCCAGCAGCTAGGTCATGAGCTAACAGACTTCCAGGCAAGCTCTTGGCCGTTGGATAATTGACATGTGTGTCTCCTCCTTGCTTGGGAATGTAAATAACGACACAAGCTGTTCTCCAAATTGTGGCATTCACCAAAGATGTATTTTTGGGGTGTAAGCATAGCTAGCTATCTCACTGCGCACTGTAGTTGTAAAAAATGGGCGTAGCTATAATAACTAAGTACTGTATTTTCTGCACTATAAGGCCATTCGGATTATAAAGCGCACCTTCAATGAATGGCCTATTTTAAAACTGTTTTCATACATAGGGCTGACTGGACTGTAAGGCACATTGAATAGAAGCTACAATAGTGGCTGCAGTTGCACTATGCATCCACTAGATTGAGCTACGCTAAAGGGAATACAATACAATACAATACTTTCTAGTTTTATTTATATGGAGCCTTCACAACTGCTGCAGCTCTAACAAAGACATTAGTACTGGTCACAAACACTGACATGACACATATAAATGGCATTACAAAACAAATGAAAGACAAAAGTTCTGAACACAATTGATTCAACAAAAACACAAACCTCGTGGGCTCACATGCACAAGGGGCTAAATATCCTTGGAAGTCTTGCTTGACTCCTTCTTCCTTCATTTAGTCAGTAGTTAACAATGCTTTTGGTTTTATCTTTGCTTCATTATGGCTGCGCAGAGCTCACAAAGTAGTTGTCTGTTTGAGTGTGTGTTGGCGAATGCACATGTCAATTAGTGTCGGGCAGAACCCTTTTAGGTTACAGTTGGTTCCTGCTAATAATCCACCCTAGATGGCATAGGAACACACTAACAGGGAAACAACTCAATGGGGAATATAAAGAGACTGTGACACCATATATAAGACGCATCGGATTATAGGACGCACTGTCAGCTTTGGGGAAAATTGAATGTGTTTAGGTGCGCCTTATAGTGCGTAAAATACAGTTATTTGAAATTGGGTAACCATTGATGTAAATGGAGATGACCAGGGTCAAAAAGGCTCACTGTAGGTTTGTTACTTCACTCGACTAAACCGACAACCAGCGCTACACCACAGATGCCGCTGAGTTTTTTTTTTTTTTTTAATCACACTTGATATCAATAGAATGGTCCCATGAGGCTCAGCTGCAGTCAGGAAATATTGGTTTGCTCACATGCTAAAGTAAACTCAAAAGTGCATGACATGAGTAAATCACCGTCACACCAGATTAAGATTTTTTTAGGAGGCTTCCAACACTCTCAAAGGCTCTAAACCATGCAAGCCTTACTTTGATATTTGCCGTTGTAACTTTTTCCTAAGTTTAAGCACAATAAAGATAATTGTTTTTTAAAAAAACTCTGATCTTATCTAGGGAACAAATATCTGATATTAGCCTCTAAAAAGGCCTTTAACAAAGCATGCAATTAGAATTGCTTGTGGCTGCTTTACTGAGAAGTGTGTGATGTCATGATCAGTTTGAATGTGTTTAGGTGCGCCTTATAGTGCGTAAAATACAGTTATTTGAAATTGGGTAACCATTGATGTAAATGAAGGTGCTCACGTTCTTATACTGTGGTGAGGGATGAGTTTGCGTCATGCCAGATGCCCCCCACAAAAAAAAAAAAACAAGAAAACTGAAAGAGTTACAAACGGTTAAACGCTATCCTCCACAATTCAGTACATACTGTAGTCCTTAAGGTTTGCACATGTTCCCACCAATTATCTTAAAAAATGTACAGTATTTACAAACACGTCTAAGTTGACCATACAGACACTTAAAGAGCCACACAGCGTTACTCTCACCTTCTTAAGCCGCCCATTTTTGGTGCCCAGGAAGACAACACTGTGTCCATTATAGGTGTAGGAGATGACCGAGGTCAGTCTCTCGCGGCTCTCCAAGTAAACCGTGTGGCCCGTCACCAGCTGGGAGCCCCCCAGAGGCTGATTTATGTCCAGGCCGCAGAAGTGGTCGTCAATGGGGACAGGCTGTGAGCGGAGGAAGAAAGAATGGCTGTGAAATAATTAAAACGGCCACTTTTTAGTGTGCGAGGAAGATAAAAGAAGACAGCGGGAGAGTGAAAGAACAGTGGATTGGGGATGACAGATGTGTGCAAGAAAGAAAAGCGTAATTGTGAACCGGGAAAAGGGAAGAAAAATCAGCAGTGACACGTGTGAATAAAAAACGAACTCCTCCGTGTTAAGCGCAACGTTTTTTTTTTCCCCCTCCATGTTTAAAAACAGCAACTTCAAACGCTTTCTCGACAGCCACGCTTTTTCGACTGTAAGCGGTTGCAAATTCACCATGATAGCAAAGCGCGCGAGGTGGCATGTGTTTTGCACCTGTTCCTTGTGATTGTTGATCACTTGATGTCACATCACACAAATAAGCAGTGCCAGAGATGCCTTGATGCTTGATAAAGCATCAAAGAGTGCCGCATGCAAAGCGCTTCTGTATCTTCTTCTGCTTTACATGTGCCTTAAAACCTTAAGTAGCTGCTGGCTTTATTTGCTGATTTGCTCTCACTGCCTCCTGTTGTTGACATGTTTACAATTACACTGTGGCGCCTTGAGATACAAGTTGATTCCGTGGCCACACTTGTATCGGATGACATGGATGATGTAAAAATCCACGATACAGTGAGACGAGGACTGAACTGCGACATGGCAAGGGACGGCTATGCTGTACTGTTAAATGAAAACATTGAAGAGGATCACTTAAAAATCTTCCATGTGGCAGGTGAACAGTGTATTCCACGGAAGCGTGGACATTGCCAGTCAACTACTTCTTATTGAGTCGTTCTCTAATTTATGAAAACATCCATCCAGGAGGAGAGAGATAGTGGATTGATCCATTTTCTATTTGTCCAATGACATTATATGCACACAAACGGCCCATTAGAATTCCATCTGAACTGAGCACACGATTTACATTCATTTTGAAAGCACTTCTTCAGCTAATGCATTTGCGCCGAATGCGACCCTCCATCTGTTACCATTATGCAAAAATTAAGAGCATTTTCCATCAAGTTATTCGAGAAGAACAACACATCAGACATGATTAAATTTGCACTGTAATGTATTCACTTATTCTGCTTTGGCATTCGTGGGTTTTTTTTCCCCATTATTATGCGCAATGAATCTGGTGAGTCAAATTCATTCAAAGAACTAGTTGCTGCTTTGCAGTCGAGAGACACATGCCATATAAACAAATATGCTTAAAACATATACCAATTATTAAAAGTTTTAAAACATTGATTGCAGTGGTTTATTTGTGTTGCTGTACTTTGTAATCATGTTAATGATGTCTACAGTAATTCATGTTTTTGTAGTTTAATGTATTAAATGTCCGTTCATGATAACCAGTCATCACTATGGAGGCCCACAATGTCCACCCGTTGCGAGAATCTCACGAACCATATATCAACGGTATATGCCTGTTTCATTTCTTCAAATTACAGTACGCAATTTATTCTTTAATTAATATGGATTATTTTGTTGAAAGTACTTGGAAGTACAGCATGTGCCAGTTGTCTGGAGTCTGGAAGGTTTTTTTTTTTGTATTTGACACCACCCATGAACACAGGCTTGTATTGGCTCAAAATGAAGCTTAGAAGGCCAAAAGGGTCAAAAAGGCTCACTGTAGGTTTGTTACTTCACTCGACTAAACTGACAACCCGCGCTACACCACAGATGCCGCTGAGGTTTTTTTTTTTTTTTTTTTAAATCACACTTGATATCAATAGAATGGTCCCATCAGGCTCAGCTGCAGTCAGGAAATATTGGTTTGCTCACATGCTAAAGTAAACTCAAAAGTGCATGACATGAGTAAATCACCGTCACACCAGATTAAGATTTTTTTAGGAGGCTTCCAACACTCTCAAAGGCTCTAAACCATGCAAGCCTTACTTTGATATTTGCCGTTGTAACTCGCTCTTTTTTCTAAGTTCAAGCACAATAAAGATAATTGTTTAAAAAAAAAACTCTGATCTTATCTAGGGAACAAATATCTGATATTAGCCTCTAAAAAGGCCTTTAACAAAGCATGCAATTAGAATTGCTTGTGGCTGCTTTACTGAGAAGTGTGTGATGTCATGATCAGTTTTCCGAATCAAGCCATTGTGTTTTCTTTGGTCCCTTAGGTTAACGGCACAGCAAGATTAATTATTGTGCTATTATGTATTTACAACCCGCCTCGGCTGCTTTGACTTGAATAACATCCTATTTGCTTGATAGCATAGTAGAATCAAAGTGCACGCTGGGAAGCGCACAGTAATGGATATGATTGTTTTCATCATTGCCTTCGGCTCGTTCCTGTGAAAGCCTCATTATGCATAATTGTGGCTTTTATTAAGGCGTAGTCACGGACATGTGCGAGAAAGGCAGTTTTTTTTTCTCAAGATGAAGGAGAATCCTCGAGAGGTTTTGAGTGGAGCGACGAGGATGAGGGGAGTGGAAAAGGATTAGAGGAAGGTGGGCATTGGTGGCCAAACCGTCCGAATGAAATCAAAGCATCTTGCCAAGTGTGATTAGCTCTTTGGGCTGAAGCTCATCCAAGTCCCCTGCACTCTTGGAATACAGAATCGGACCCTGCTCGTATTTGCAAACGTGGTTCATCAAAGAGTGGTAGTTAATCAGAGCGTATTTCTGTCTATGCTGCTCTCCACCATGTTGGTCTACAGTCCTCTGTTGTTTACCACTTATTTAATAATATATCAAACCTGCAACAGACATACCGATAAAACTCCACAGATTCCAAATCTGCCCTCGTTTTTTTCTATATAGGCTCCAGCACCCCCCCGCGACCCGAGTGTGGATAAAGTGGTTTGGAAAATGAATGAATGAATGAATAATAATAATAAGAAGAAGAACAGAAATAAATTTAACATAGTGATATATTTTGTAACACTGTATGCATGAGTTAAGGGTTTATTTGTTTTGCTTTGTCTTCTTAAAACATGCTGAGAAACATTGAAAATACTTTTTTCCCAAAAATATAGAAAAAAAAGGGGGAAAACATCTGCAGATATACGATACCCTGGGTGCCAAAGGGAATAAGCATGGGTCGATTGTTTTAGGTTGTAATATCACTAATCACCTCTAAATGGCAGACATTTCTTAGTTGTGCTTGCACTGCCCTATACTACAAGGTGAATAGGCCAAATACTTTTTTTGCAGCTTTGTAATGGTACGCAAGACAAACATAGTGCCTCAATAATATGAAACTTTTAAGGGAGTTGATTTTTGTGGAAAAAAAAATGGACAAAATGAGTTCTTGCACTAAATGTTGGTTTCTTGTTCAGCGGTTTTGTGCCACCCTTGAATGGTAATTTTTATGCAAGAGAGCCTTTACACTAGAAAGAGAATTATGCGATGTGGATAGATTGTTCTTTGCTTCAAACCCTTTGTTGTTGGTTTCCTCCGTGGATCTTATGTACATGCATTGAAAAATGTCCAAAAAATCTGCATATTAAGAGGATGTAATTTGTCCATATTTAATATCGTATTTTTGTCATACATCTGGTTAGGAAGTGCGTGGTCCTATATGGCCCCCCGGTTGCACTGACTAAAATGTGTGCCCCTGTCAAGCATTTAAGTGGCCCATCCCTAATCTAGATGGGAACTGGATAAGTCCACCTACCGCCTTGGTGCACTGCACGTCCTTTCCCAGCAGCCAGTGCAGCTCCAGGTGTCCCTCACCCTGGTAGCAAGACTGCAGCCTCTCCTTGATGCGTGTGTTGATGTCCTGGATGGTGAATATGCACAATGCGGAGTGATCGGACGGGTCGTGATACTGCTTCTGGCCCTTGGAGAACACTGCAAAGAGCACGTCATCCTGGGCGCTAATGTTAAGCGCCTTAGCTAAGACCCTGCCAGCCTTGGACAGGTAGGCAGCCTGTAGCAGACGGTACTCCTTGCCCCGGTGGACGCAGCCCACAGGAAGCGACACGTAGGAATGGAACTTCTTGTCGCCTTTGCAGAGGCGGATGATGCGGGAAGTGTAGAACAGGTCGCCAAGGGAGCCCCCGGACGGCATCCCGTTTTCTGGGGTCTCTGGCTGGACGGTCATGAAGTAAACAAAATGACCACTCTCGAAGCCATAGATGTAGTAGATGTCAAAATGTGGGACAAGAGCAAGGGTGTCTGAGGGGATTTTGATGAGCGACGAAACAAAGTCAGTGTGAAGCTCGTAGTCGAGCATGGCAGAGGATTCCGGGTCGCGAGGCAGCTTACGGCTGGAAATAGTCGGGAAGTAGTCCTGCTTCCCTCCAACTGCGGTGCCGATGTACAGGGTGGCATCCTGAGCCAACGAGGGCACCACCACGCCGTACATGGTCCCCATCTGTGTGTCGCTGGACAGGTAATGTTCTTTCTTATGAGTGGGCTCCCCGAGGATGAACAAGTCGTCGAGCCTCATGAGCTTGCAAATGCCTTGGTAGAGGCTGCCGCACGCCAGGAGCCGGTTGTGGGAGTAGTCGATGAGCAGCAGCTTGTTGACATTGTCCGTAGAGACGAGGGGCTCCGAGCAGGGTTGAACAATCAAAGGAGGGTAGCAGGCTTTGTTGTCGTACTCGGGCCCCGTGGCATGCGACACCAGGAGCGTGAGGTTAGCCGACAGCTTGTATATCCGGTTGACAGCGCCAATGTAGAGGGCTCCGGTGGATTGATGCACGGCGAGATGGTTCAATGACCATTCTCGCCGCTCCGATTGGAAGATGTTCACAGTCTGTCCGGCCGCTGTCTTTTGACTCATGAGGATGAGTGTCAGGAGCCCAAGGGCCACGAACCGTGACATGACCTTCACAGGGCCGTGAACTTTAGTGAAGCGGCCATAAGTCCATCTTTTATGTAAGCGCGTTCCCATCCCCGCAGGGCTCAGACAGAGGCGCTCAGACAAACCTCAGAGGACTGCGTGCCGGCGAGGTGAAAGCCAGAGGAGTCGTCGTCCTTCCCCAGGAAACTTCACATTACTCTAAAAAGAGAAGAGGCGAGACATTTGTTTTATCAAGTCCCTCCTCGTTTTAAGTGCACTTAGGTTATCATTCGCACTTCTGCTTGTTTTCCCGTCTGCTTGTCCTTTATCAGACTCATAATACATCAAAGAAACAAGCACTCATTTGTTCTAAGTGTCTGATCGTATTTACAAGAGAGAGTTTCACACTTCCCCCTCCCCACCATCATCTGGGGAGCTTATTAAATGTGCCACTCCTTTCAGGAGAACTAACCTCTGCCTATTACTCTAACAAAGCAGTCACAACAATGTAGCTGCCCCGGCCGACTCTTTTGGTTGCTTATTAAAGCGACCTAAATGTATTCATCACGTGTCCGTGTTTGGGGCTGCCGCTTCTATCCCCGCCACCCTGTCATGTTCACTTAAATGGCTGAATCCAGGAGGAATTCATCACTCTCCACTGTAGCCGACATTCCCCAAATTAATCAGCCTTTTTCCAAGGATGGCAGGAAGTCATTAGAGATTCCCAGCCATGCAGCATCAACCCTAGCGCTTCCTTTTTTTAATTTCATTTGCATATTTTATGTTGCTATCTCCTGGGGGGGCTAGCAAACAATGCCCCTCAAAGGCGGGATGAGCGCGGACGAGTCGGACACGTAGCGGTGAATGATGTGCTCACATTTCCTTATCATGAAGCCTACTTGTGTCTGGCTGTGTCTGCCGCAAAATGAATTAATTTGCTTTCAAACAGGTTTTCACCTCCAAACAAAGATGAATGTGGAGTGCCGCCGCAGACGGGCACTGCGGATAAAGTGGGCTTGCATTCACAGCTGCCACACCAAAGTCTATTAAAGGGAGGTGATAAAAGTGCCTACTCGGGAGGACAAACTATAAATTGGCAAACGTGCCATCACCCTAAATCCGCCGGTGTGTCATCATGTATCAGCAGGAGCCTAAGGTGTAGCCACCCCCATTTTTTCCCCCGTTTGTATCATCCTCGCCAAGCAGGTGCTGAAAGAAAATGCTGGACAGTCGTGATTTTGCTGACCCCTTGTAAAAAATGTGATCTTTGCACAGTTTGACACACACACACACACACACACACACACACACACACACACACACACACACACACACACACAACATTACGCCAGACTCCAGCTCGTTGTGAAGTGAGTTTAATTGAGTTCACTGACACCATACGGCGCTCATTTGTTCGTGTTTTGTTTACAAGTCAAAGCAAAAAAAAAAAAATCAGCTATATGATGCCGCATATCTTGAAAAACTCACAAGCCGGATCTAAAGGCACTACCATAACTGGTTTGGGGGGACTTGTACGTGCTTTGCAATTTGGATTCGCTTTTTTATTTTATTTATTTATTTTTTTAATTCTGGGCTCAACAAGCAGCCACCCCGAGGTCCATCCCCAGTTGTCACGGTAGTGCAAGCCATTCATTCTCCCGCTCAGCACACCCCACACTTGAGGGAGTAGTGAGTCCAAATAGTTTTTTCTGCTATGACATACAACAAGCTGCTGCTTCTTAAATGTTGGGGGGGGGGGATCACCACAGCTATACTAATAACCAAGTAACCCATTTCTTTGTAGCTTAAACTCATCAATATAATATAAACTTTATGCCCTGTTAGATCACAATCTTAAACCAATATGCTGTTTCAAATCCACAACCCAATGCACTGTATATAAATAACCTAGCTTTGACGCTGGGTTAGCGATTTCAGACAATTTGGGTTATGTTTAACTCAGCAGTTTTAGAGTGTCGAGAGCCCCGAACCTCAAAACTGTGATGCAGACGTGCTAACAACTAGAACAGTTCTGCCTCTTTCATAGTCAAGATCAATAGTTCTCAGTGAAGTGACTCTTCTGAACATCTTATTTATGTGCATTTTCCCAAGGATGTTTCTTAGTTTAAATAGAGGTTAAATGATGACAGTCACGTCGGAAAAAGAGGAGGGTGGGGGGTAGGTCACGCCGCGGTGTGTTGGCCATCAGACGGACGTCCTGCTGAGTAGAGCGTGAGCCAGGAATTTAGCGGACGGACTGACACTGAGCTGGCTGGGCTCCCTCCAGAATCACTACAGCACCTCCCGTCCATCTGTCGCCGCCACGCTTGCACCGCGGTCGCTCGAAAGTGTGCAGTCGCTTTGTTTGTTTTTTGCCAGGCTTGCCGCCAGCAACTCTGTCAGTAATTAGCCACTGAAGGCTAATTAGCTATGAGTTCAATTTTTTTTTTTTACATTACATTACATTACATGGGTGGCACGGTTGTCGACAGGTTAACACATCCACCTCAAAGTGCAGATGTTAGGGTATTTGATTCCGGCCCTGGACTTCCTGTGCTGACTTTGCATATTCTCCCCGTTGCCTGCGTGGGGTTTCCCCGGTACTCCGGTTTCCTCCCACATTCCAAAAACATGCATGGTAACTTGATTGAATGCTCTGAATTGTCCATAAGTGTGATCATCAGCGCGAATTGTTGTTTGTCTATGAGTGTGCTGCGATTGGCTGGCAACCAGTTGAGGGTATATCCCGCCTACTGCCCAAAGACAGCAGGGATAGGCAGATAATGGATAGATGGACGCATGTATACATTCTTATCAGACAAGTGTATCCTTTTTGTGGAAATTACCTGGCTCGCTCATGGAGAATAAGCATAATTGTGACAAATGGCCATTTTAACCCTTTCAGGGACAGCGTCACTACAGTAGACAGCCTATCATGTTATAAGGTTATTCTTGGTAGATGAACGAGTTAATGGCGATGATAAAGAATCTCACTTGGACAAACTGCTTTTATCATGAAGCAAATCATTTGACTTTTCTATTTGTCAGGGGTAACATTTTAAAAACTCATTCACTCCCAAAGACGTTTTTAAACGTCTTTTCAGACTTGGTCCATAATTGGCTGGTACTGAATGAGTTAACAATGGTATCAAAATCAAAGGCTGCGGCAAGCAGATGATCCTCTGAATCAGTTTCTTTGTTACCATCGCCAAGACTTTTATTTGAACAGTGTTACCTTTTATCTTCTTTCACTTTCTCAAGGGATCAATGGCATTTTGTCCTTACTCAGTCGGCCCTTTGGCTTAACCAGCACGACTATAAAACTCTTTGCAGCCTTGGGGTGTTTTTTTGTAAAACAGCATTCCTTAAAACCATAAAGGTCACCAATATTTTTTTTCAAGAGAGGCACTTGTTTGCAGGAAATTTGAATGTGACCACCAAAAAGGCTGTTTTAAGAGTCAGAAGGTTACGACAGACAAATCTGACTTTCATGTGACACAGCAGTGGTGCTAACATTTTTTTGGGAGTTATGAAAAAGTGTTAGCCTTCAGAACTGCGATAATTATACCTAAAAGTATAAGTGGTGATAATAGGCAAGATATACTTGAACTTGCCTACTGTACTCGATGTACTTACTACAGAATAAGTCAAGTACGAGGGGTGTCACAAAACATATACTGTTTATGAAACCAAAACTACGAGTTTTCCCCTTCATTGGCCAGCAACGTGACTCTTTGGCAAGCACAAGGGGGTGGGTCATCAAGGGGACCCATTTTGAAGATGATTACAACATTACGATGGTCGTGACGACAGAGCCGCAGAGGATCCTGGAATAATTCTTTTGGGAGTACAATGGAGAGGACGCGGAAAAAGCTGGGAACATGCGTTAGCCTGCACGGGGATCAATTTGAAGGGATAAATCTTGTCTTTTGCAACACCGCTCCAGGCACTTTTATGACACAACTCATTCACTCCATACTTTCGGCAAAAAGCAAATAACAACATCACCTGGTCTTCACTCGCCAGTCAGTTGCACGTGTAGAGACTGACAGCCATTCACCCTCACATTTACACCATCATTATGTAGGAACTGTACCCTTGCTGAGTGAACCGCTGACTTCTCTGACAATTTAGAACATTTGAATATTCCACATACCGGCACATAAAAAATGTATGGTTGATACAGGTTTGGTATAGCAGCAGGTTATTCAGAATGTTAAGCGCAAATAAGTATCCAAATAAGTGCAATATATGCCTGATATGATTATTTTTATACTCATCAGTATACGCAAAGCACTCCAAGGTAAAATGTAGTAAACATCTGTCCATTTTATAACAGTAATAGCTACTTTACTCAAATATTATGGAACACTGACTTTTAAATATGCAAGTAGTTGGGTAAGTGCCTGCCCACACATCAGATCTGAAATTAAACAAAAAAGTAAAGTAATGCTGAAAGTATGCCTATCAGCGAGCCCTTCTGAATCATAAGACCGGAACTCCGTTAGAAACTAAAGTCCCCCTGTCAAAACTTTGACTGTTGCCCAGAAAGTTCTTGTATGAGTTGTGATATATTATTTGGCCACTTGGTGAAATGCTGCCTTCACTGATGAAAATTCAATCATTGCTTTCATGGGGATTCAGTTTGCAGCTCACAGTCACTTTTTAGTCTAGAGGATTTTTTTTTTAATCCTTAGAGCATTTTGACAAAAGCGTGTCACAGTTATTGTACATGTACACTGTATAAAATATGTACATATGCTTGAAAAAACCTTTGGTGCATGATATCAGGCAGTTTAACAGACTAGCTGTTGTACAGTGCATCCAGAAACTATTCAATGTCCTTCAGTTTTTCCACATTTTATTGTACAGCCTTATTCTACAATGGAATAAATTCATTTTTTGTCTCATAATTGTGAGCACACAGCACGTAATTATGACTCTTGAGAATATAATTTTTTTTCTTAACGAACAAAACACCTTCACCTAAGTATTAAACAACCACTATTCAACCCTTGGTTGGCAACAATTATGTGCTTGGCACAGCTACCTGGATCTTTGGCCTATTCTGCTTTGCGCACCACTCAGCGCACAGATGTTTATTGATCTCTTCAGAGATATTCAACCAGATTAATTCAAGGGCATTTTCAATGAAATAACTCTCGTAAAGTACGCTTGAATTAACCTTTTTTTTCTTTGCCGGAAATCAGGGAGTCTTG